TAAATTTGCTGTTCTTATTTTATTTTGTACATTTTTTCCTATCGTTCTTTCTTATATATTTTTTGACTTTATTTTCTTTGACATATTTTATATTAATACAATTTTCAAATAGTATTTACAGATCACATTCTCCTCTCTTTAACCTCAATACAAATATTGTTGCTAACATCGATGCAAACGAATAAAAACGCATCTTTGCGTCCAGAGGAAAGCCCTCCCAAAAGGGAAGGGAATGTGATCAGAAATAAACAGTTTGAAAATAATACACTTTTTAAAACTAAGTCTGAAAGAAAATTTTGAAAAATAAAATTAAAAAATTTAAAATCAGTACAAGAAATTTAGAAAAAAATGTTTTAAAAAGATCTTTTAAGAACAAAAGCTGAATAAAAACAAAGTTACTCTCAAAACCGTTACCTAAGAATTGTTTTAAATGTATTACTTTTTTGCATTTTTTCACATTTTTAATTTATAAAATGTGTTCTTTTCTTGCAATTGCAAGGAAGCAAAATTTACTCCATAATATTTACAATTCAGTGCAGGAAATGCTAAAGTTAGCTATATTTCAGACAAAAGCTAAGAGCAAAAGCAGTGTAATATGGTGCTTTGTGTTTATAGAATGTGACTCTGTCCAAGAAATATGAAAGGAATGGTTGGAGTGCAGACAGCTGACAGAATGAGAGCATGCATGTTAAAGGTCAGATTGTGGGTATTTTTCTTTTCCTGTTCCTCAGTTGAAAAAAGGGGGTGAATAGCCTACCTGCAGAATTTCATTCTTAGCCTTTTATGTTGTATTCACACCCTGGCACCATGAAGTGACCTTATCAGGTCGTCTTAATAATCATGGAATTTTTCAAAGAATAGAAAATTGACATTTATTCAGTTAATTGAATTATTAACAAATATCAGGTGTAATTTCTCCAAAACGATTCGGTTTAAATGCCACAGAGACAACCAGCTACATCAGTTGAAATGGGATGGGCAATCAGCGTTGTCTCCTTTGATTACAAGCGGGCCCTTGTGCAATTTAAAAAAAAAAGGCATGTTTGAGATGTTGCATCAAGTTAAATCAGATTTATTCATTATATCACATGCTTGTGCCTCCGCAGGGTGGGACATAATGAGATCATTGGTGTGATGAGGGTTGGAAGCCATGCTGAGGGACTTGGCAGGGACCACTGGAATGAAATGCTGGCTTATCCACGGAAGCCTATTGCACACTGGCATCCCCTCCTGGAGTCCAAGAAATCTGAGAAGGAGGTGCGTAAGATTGTAGGGATTCTCCTTGAAGAAATGTTCTATGTCTGGGTAAAGCGCTCTACTTAACAGAAAAAAGATCTGGAAAAAATCTAAATCTAGATAAGTCATTTTTTCCTAAAATAAGTGCATTTGTTCTTGGATTAAGAAGGTAAAAGAGACATTTTGCCAATGGAACAAGACAATTTGCACTTAAAATAAGAAAACAGAATTGCATTGTCTTGTTTCAAGTGCATATTATCTAATTAACATATTTTAAGAGTAAAAATACGCATCCCATTGGCAAACTTTCTCCTTTAGCTACTTGAATTAAGGATAAATGCACAAAATGTAAGAAATTTTTACTTATTTCTAGATTGTTTTTCCAGTGAGAAAACCATATTGAAGGACAGTCTCTTAGGCTAGATTCAGTCAGGCTAGAGCTAGTAGCCAACAGATATTAGGAGACTCAATATAAAAGTTGATCATATTTTGTTAATCAAATTTAATAAGCATATCAGAAAATTCCTAAACAGCATTGTTACATTCGTTTTTAAACCCTTAGTGAAATAAAGATTGTTTTAGCTTTATGAACATCAGTTTTAAACATGTCAGCATTGGGTACCATGCAGTCACTATTATCTTCTTGTTAGATTTGT